AACTTGTGCTACACTTGAGCTTACATTTCTGCAAAACATAATTCTGAGTATGCAAATTAAATTCAGGTTATTAGTAGCCTTCTCACTAGCTGAGGCTAACTGTTATGCTTTTTTTTTTTTTTCCCCCTTCAGATAATGCTAGTGAAAATTCTTCCATGCAGAGGTCACAGTCCCTTCCACAAACTTCAACACCTCCCTTGGTGAGTGGAATGGCAGACTATAATACCTCAGTTACTCCTCTGTTAACTGAAAGAGAAGCATCCCGATTAGACAAATTTAAACAGCTACTTGCTGGCCCCAATACAGATCTTGGTGAGTATGTCTTATAGGAGCTATGGATTACACCTAAATTATCCTTTAACTATAATTTTTTCCTGTTTGTTTTACTGTTCTGCCTGATGGTTTGTTTAGAATCTAATCCTATCAACATTTAGAATTGATCTTGCAAAAGAAAGACAGAATTTAATTGAATACTTGTGGTATTCATGCTTGTAATGTGCAATTTGCATACACTCTACTAATGTGCAGGGTGTTAGATGACTTCTTGGTCTTTTCTTTCTTACATTATTTTTTTCTACTGTACTAATCTCTGGAGAAAAAACAACATATAGGTAGCTGTGTTTAGTGTTACTGCCTTATAATGGAACAGCATGCAGTATAAGTGATTCTCACACTTAGAAACATAAATGTGAAAAATGATGAGGTGTGGAAGTATTACTGCTTGTCTACTCAGTGAGCATTCTTCGTGTTCACAGGCTGATACAGTAGTTCTGTGTCTCATCTGTGAAATGCTGACAACATGTTAATGTGAAAACAAATGCATTGTCAGATAACTTGACTGTTCCCTTTGTGCGCTGGATTTTAATGCTGAATAGTAAATACAAGTGCTGAGAGGGTATCACAGAGTGAAATGGCTTTGTGTCTCAAGTGTAAATCTGGAGCAAGTAGAAGTAGTACACTGCACTTGGAGAACTTGACTGGTCAAGTGGAAGTAGGAGTTTATGCCAAAATGATTAATAAAAAGAGTGACTTTGAGTTAGACCATTCTGGAAGATACCTACAGGAGACATGGCAGGAAGTAGAAACTGCATGTTTGCAGTTCTTGAATTGACACTTTTGTGCCATGTACTTTGCATGAGACTTCTTCAATATAATGTAGTCCAAGCTGTTGCTTTTTTTTTAATTTGTTTTCTGTGCTGTGTTTTATTGTGAGATTGATGCTAGCAACGTAGAACTAGGGAAACAATACTAACTAGATGAGACTTAACACATTGCATTTTATAAGAATGTCCTGTAACTCAACTGTGAATAAACTCTGAGGTGTTAAAACAAATCACATTTTATATAAGCTTGAAAATGATAATCAGTTAAAACTTACAACTTTTAAGAATGTTGTAATGGTAGAAATCTTTGTTACATAATGTTACAGAGTCAGAGGGAAGACAAAATTTAATTTAAACCTATCCATTTTACGTTCACTGTCTAATTAGATGGGAATACTTTCCCAGTGAATCAGATTTAGGGATTAGAGTAAATTATTTTGGAAGGTAGTAAAATAAAATTTTCACTCTTACTGGGAGCGCGGTCACCTTGGCTGTGGTGAGAGTTTAGTTAATGTTTAAACAGTTTGTTTTTTTCCCCCTGTTGAAAATTCTAAATCTGATGCAGAAATATGCATAGGAATATGAAATTTGCATATGCTGCTCTTATATCTAATAAACTCTCAATATTCTTTCTTGTAGATATCACTAATGTCTTTTCTATGTATCTTTGTAGGAAGCTTGTGCTTTCTCTTGCTGTGCAAACTGTAATGAGTAGGGAGTTTGAAGTTGTGTGAATTAGAATTTTAAGCCCAGTTTTGATTTTTTTGATACAAATACTTTGACTTTTGTATCTGGGATATATCCAGTAGCATTTCCTAATGTATCTGTAAATAATTCATTATTTTTCTTAGTGAAATAAATGAACTCCTTATTGATGACTCTCAAACTCTTGATGATCTTAGTAGTAGATAATATGTGACGGTAGTGCTTGAACTACGTTATATGTAGATATTAGGGAAAGTGTGTGTATGCATATATACATATGCAAACATGTATATGACCATATGTACAGTTCATCAGAATCTGGTGTGTACGTGTGTGTATGCGTTTTTGGGAGATGTTTGATTTAGTTTCATGTTACAACAAAGACTATGTTTAAAAAGGATTTATAATGACAGTAGTAGCCTGGAAAACTGTTGTGGGTTGTGTAGTAGTTGTTTTAGGTTGTTTTTTTAAAAATTCAGAATAATACTGAAAATGGACTAAGGTAGAAGTAGGTAACAGGCTCCAAGCTAAGATTTGTAGAGATTAATGAAGGGACAGGTAGCTGTTCTGCTGCAGCAGGCTCATTATCTTTGTGTATGATGTTGTATGTGTGTTTTGTGTTAGGTCCACAGATAGTTGGGTTTTGTTTGTCGTGATGAATTGAGCTAGTGGGTGGTGGTCCTGGAGACATTTTGCTTTATGCTTCCGGTCCATCCACATAATTTAGAATTTTATTGCCCTCTGTAGTTTTAAATTATCTGTAGTTGATGTTAGTGCTTGTTCTTCTTCTAGTTTGTTGATATATGGTATAAAGTGAACAAGTGTCCTTCCACTGCTTCATATAATATGCCATTAGTCATACCTATCTTTCAAAGTATTGTCACCAAAAGGTGTCTTCTCCGATTCCTTCTCTGTTCTAGTTAGCTTGTTATCCTCAGAACATGCTTGCCTTTTCAGCTAATAAACAAGGCTAATAGCCTACTGGTCAAGTACTGACCATTTGTTTCGGAACTTTTTTTAGTTAAAAATCTTCTGAAAGAAATCAGTGCTAAATATTCATAAAAGATTCCTTATATTAATTGTTTTTTGTGGAATTAGTATTTTGTCTTCCTATTTTCTATAGCTTGGTCTCATAAATTGTGGTTTCATGTAATAATCAGCATTTGCTGCTTTACTGGGATATTTCAATTTAAAAATATTTTATTAATTTTCATTGTAAGTAGGTAGTAGTAGGTTCTTGAAACAACTTGGAGAGGATTTTGCATAGTTTGTCTCCAGAGGATGTATTTATCTTCTTTTTGTAAAGATACTTGCTTGACATAGTAGTCATTGCATTACATAATAAGTGTTGATATTTTTAACTAGTTTGCTCTGTATTGGACATGTCTTCAAATTTTTTTTTTAGTAAAACTTTTCTTGTCTTCCAACATTTCCTCTGTTTTCTGTACCTTCTCTGATCTCAGGTTTTCAGTGTTTTGTGGTGGGTTTTTTTTTTCAGTTCCACTTTTATGCCTCTATTTCCTAGTATTCAAAATCTAGTTAAAGTAATTAATTTAGCGTTTTCTATGAGAATGCACTTTCAAAGTTTGTCTTGCTTTTATATTTAGAAGGAAATCCAGAACTGGAAGTTTATATACAAAAATAGATATAAAGCAGTTTTTGCCTGGGAAGGTAATCACAGTGGGGCATATTTTGCTGTGCATGTTTGTGCTGTGATGCCTTTCTGATACTGGTTATTGGTTAGGTATGGCCTCACAAATGTTTTGGGAATAATGGACATTTAATCTAGAGATGTAATGCATGTTTGCATTTAAGTGAGAAAACCTTATGTGAATTAGAGGTTATGGGGTAGCCTTTTATGGGAATTTGATAATAGAGGTGGGAAATTAGGATTTAAAAGTTTTTCCCTATCCTGAATGTTTAAAAAAAGTTATTGTGCTCACTGTATTAATTATGAGTCAAAATTAGGGAAAAACTTTTAAATCCTATCCTGAATGTTTAAAAGAGTTATTGTGCTCACTGTATTAATTATGAGTCTTTACTCCAATTATTGTATTGGAAATATTATGTTCAGTTTAGGTGTAGATGAGGTTCTTTGACAGCTAGGTGTTTGTTCTTCATTAATGCTGGCAATTAAAAGGAGAGAGAGAGGATTTCTTTTTGCACATACGAGCAATTTTTCATGTTTAGTGAACTTTGAGCCAAGTTCAGCTTCTCCACTTCCCTTAGTGCTTGACCACAAGCTGAAATTCAGCCTTGTTTCCTGTCTCTCCAGATCCATGAAACATTCAGGAGGAATGCACTACAGCCCCAGTAGTCCCTTTACTTTGAGTTGATGGGCAGGTATTACCTCCCCTTAGAGGCAGGAAATACTAAAGTGTCAGATGCTTGAGAGTGGCACAGAATTCACTAGGTTAGTATGAACAGAAAGAGCCCAATTGAGTAGTTAAAGGCAATCTGTAAGGTACTTGGGATGGCCAAGTCAATTCATTCATTTTGCAAGACTGCCTGCTTTTTTATTTGACTTTCCCAAACTCAACTTTAAATTTGGAGGAAGTGATCCAAGAGGAGAAATGTAGCTCTTTACGTGTATTACATGTGAAATTTTTTGCCTGATCAGGATCCTCTTTATTTTCTACCTCATGGAGTTTATCAGCAGCCTTTCTCCTAAGCCAAAGATATTGAGGGAAATTATAAAAAGAAAAGAAGTCTCTGCTTTTCTTATGTGGTAAATAAATGTACATTGTAGGCAGACTTACTGGTTTTTGTTTTTGGTTTTTTTTTGTTAATGTGAGAAGCTCTCTAGTGCTAGCTGTTGTGAATAATTGTGTCAGTTTTGTGGCTCAGTAGTCTAGACATGTATCTATGAATCCTGATTATTTCAGTTGTGCCTTTCTTGTACTATAGTTTCACTGTGAAAGACCAGTGTCAGTCACGTTGCATTTTTCAATGTAGATATTGAAACTGTGTTTTTTTAAGTTGATTTACTTAGTTTGTTTTGTAAGAATCTTTTCTTTATAGCATGAAGCTTTAATATTATCATAAGTAAACTTATGCCTTAGTTATTTGTTCGAAATGCATGTGAATATTTAAAAGAAAAAAGAGAGGGATAGAACACAGCTGACATTGACAAAAGTAATTATTACTTGACTATTCACTTAAAAAATGGATTTTTCTTGTGATTAATCAACAGACTGTAAGCTTCCATTTTTCTCCCCAAAGAGGAGAAATAAATAGTCTGTTATTTCTAAATAAGAGGGAAAATTGTCTCCTTTAATAAACTGGTACTGTAAGTGGTATTTCCTGTTTTCTCTACTTCTGTATAGAGAGATACCTTAGTTCTGCTTGGAAAGCTTGTTAGAGACTTTGAATGGCTTTAAGGTAAAAATAAAACCAGTTAGTGATGCACAGAATCTGAATGTTCATAGGAGAACTATGAAAACCTATAAAACCATTTAAAATCTGCTGGTACAGTTTTTCCCCATTAATAATTTTCGTAATTTA